CACCAAAAAATCAATTCAATTTAAAAATGTACAGAGGACCTGAATAGGCATTTCTCCAAAGAGGACATACAGATGGCCAAAAGACATGAAAAGATGCTCAACATCATTAATCATCAGGGAAATGCAAGTTAAAGCCACAATGAGATATCACCTTACACTCGTCAGAATGGCTGCCATCAACAAATCAACAGGCGCTCTCCCTCCCAGGAGCACCCTGGTGCCTTTGCTCTCCTCCTCCTCTCCCCGCAACCACCCCAGGCCTGTTATCTTTTCCTTTCTCTCTCCTAAGCTCCAAGGGCCCCCTTCTTTTGCCTCTATAACTTGTTTCCGGAACCCATTTCTTCTACTACCCACTTCTATCTCTGTGGCTTTCTAAATAAACTTTCTCTTACAGTTTGAAAATCAACCAATCAATTAATTAATAAGTAAGTGCTGGCGAGGACATGTAGAAAAGGAAACTCTCATACACTGTTGGTGGACTTACAAATTAGTTCAGCCCTATGGAAAACAGTATGGCTATTTCTCAAAAAATTTAAAATAGAACTGCCATACAGTCCAGCAATCTCACTTCTGGGTATTTATCTAAAGAAAATAACACTAATTTGAAAAGATAGATTATGCACCCCTGTGTTCATTGCTGCATTATTTACAATAACCAAGACATGGAAGCAGCCTAGATGAATGGATGAAGATATGGTGCATATATACAATGGAACATTACTCAGCAGTAAAAGAGAATGGAATCATAAAAATGTTTTTTAAAAGACATGAAATCTTGTTATTTGCAACATGGATGGACCTTTGAGGGTATTATGCTAAGTGAAGTCAGATCAAAACACAAACACCGTATGATTTCCCTTATAGGTGGAATCTAAAAAAACACCACCAAAGCAAGTGAATAAACAAAATGAAGCCAAAACAGAACCATAGATATAGAGAGCAAGCTGGGTGATCACCGAAGGGGCAAGAGGTGGGGGAGGGGCAAAATGAATTAATTTTCTTCTTCTTCTTTTTTTACAAAAGCCTGTCCCAAAATTGTGCTAAAAACAAAAACAAAACCCAAGAGCAGAGTGTAGTGGTTAATGGATGGAAAGTTACTAGGGAATTTGATTAAATATCAAAGGGGGTAGAGGGACAATAAATAAACAAACAAATAAATATTTCAGGAACTCAAATACTGTACTCAGAAGACTCTCTTGAGGAGCTGACTAGAGCATGAGCTCATCCAACTAAGAAATAAATGGGGAAAAGGCAAAAACTCAGAAAGCATTATGATGGTGAGCATTAAATATATTAAGTTGTAGATCTCCAACTAAAATAAAGGTAATTACAAGGATGGAAAAATAGTATGAATCTTTTTTTGGAAAAAACAATATGACTAAAAAAGAGAAGTGATGAGAGAAGGGAAATTAATAAAATGACTGCATATAAGTAATAGAAGGGAGCCAAGATACAGCTGACAAACAAAAGAATACAGCCCAAGTAAGGAAAAGGAATTTGAGGACATTAAAAAAGATACAAGCATACAGTAACTATTGGAACAAAACCACAAGGATTACTAAACATCATAAAATTAATTTTTAAAGTTTTGTTTTGAGTTTTGTTTGTTTTCTAGCACTTCCATATTTTCTGGCACTACAAGATAATCTGGGGTTCATGTCTGTATTTCCTGCCCCAATATTAGCATTTCTCCAAGGAGTCCTGGTTCCTGGTCGAAAGAGAACTGAAAATCGGCTGGAAACACAGTCGCTTTGGAGTGTTGGGCAGGGGAGGAAATCTTAAAACAAAAGTAATCAAGGATGATTACTAAAAAAATGAAGAAAGCTGTGACAGCGGCAAAAGGGCTGGGGAGCGCCCGCGGGTCTCGAACCACTCCGCAGAGAGTGGCTAGTAAGCTCACGCTCAGACGAAGGAACCGCTGGGCTAAAGCCAACCCAGGGTAAGGGTTAACATTACATTTTCTTGACTGCTCAGAAAGACTTGACGTCACAATAAATCGACCATAGTAGAAGTAACCCGGAATGATTCACCACCCGAAAACTTGTCCAATCAGCTCTCCCCGCAAACCCCCCTCCCCCGCCCGTCGCCCCCGTTAGACACTTGGTGAGTGCCCATCTGAGAACACACAGCAATGACTCAGGTCCCCCTAGCCCCCGCCTTGGGGAGCTCTTCCATAGTAGCTTCCGGGATTATTCCTTCCTACCATGCAGCGGTCACCTGGTCCACCACCAATCTCCAGCCTCTGCGCTCCCGCACACAACCACACGGCGTCACTCTGTGATCAAATCAACTTTCACAGTGCCTAATAGGAGTGAAATCTTCACAAGCTACAAAATGTGTTTCAGGCCTTTTCTTGAACTTTGCAGCTAAATCCGATATATCATATAGCTCCTTTCCCAGGTGTTATATAGCATTACTTGTTCTGCTAGTTTTTAAAATTATTTTAAATCCCACATGAAAACCTTTTTATGTATAAGTAGCTAACCCTTTTCTTCCCACAATTCCTACTTTTCTCCAGTTAACCAGTTAGGATTTCAGTGTATATTCCTCCAGTCCTTTTCCTCAATCTCTGTACTTAACTATACATAATTTAGTTTTTGTTTTTTTAAAAAGTGTCTTTATTGATTTCAGAGAGAGGAAGGGAGAGGGAGAGAAACAACGAGTTTTTGATTGGCTGCCTCCCACAGCTCCCACAGGTTGGGGTGGAGCCCGCAACCCAGGCATGTGTCCTGACCAGGAATCCATCCAAGCTGGAAGCTCAGAACTCCTGAATCATAGGTCAATGCTCAACCACTGAGCCATGCTGGCAGGGCATACAAGTTTTTTGACTGGGGAGTGCTAATTGGGGATCAGTTTGTTGAGTAGTTTGTGTTTGTTTACTTAACAGTATGTTTTGGAGATCTCACCAGTAAATATTTATATATATATATATATATATATATATATAGTAATGACAGCTTTATAGCCAAGTATAAACGTGCCAGTTTTATCTTAAATGTTTTGCTATTATAGAAAACAAAGCTGCAGTAAACATCCTTGTATGTATATATGTACACATAAGCAAGTATGTTAGGATACTTAAGAGTAGAATTGCTGGATTAAGATTCTTCACATTTAAATTTTTTGGAGGGGGTTATGGGAGGTGACTGAAGCCACAGAATCATCTGAAGCAATACTGATCTTTGTTCCCCAAATACTGTAAATGGCCATTTTACCAGAATGTGAAGTTCCACAATAGTTGGGGCCTCAATGCCTTGCCCTAGAAGATACTATGAGCCTAGACATGCTCAGCATCTCAGCACGCATTGAATAAGTGAACATATGTAGGCCAGTCACAGGCATATTCCTCAACCAGAATGAAGTTTCCATGAATTTCAGGGGGACCACAAACATCAATGAAGTTTCTCTTCTAGAGATTTGAGCTCTCTGGGATTGCTCTGTGCTCCTAAATTTCCATCCCACCGCCTTCCTCTGTTTTTCCAACTTACCAAGTTGAGTCCCTCCAAATACCCATGACCTAGAGAGGCCTCTTGGAGACTCAAACCACTTGCCAGTCCCAAGAGAATTTAAGAGAATCTGGAATTTAGAATTGCTTTTTAGTAGAGGTGGCCAGAGGTAATATTCCACTGTGCCAGAGATGATTTGAAGCCAACTTAGTTTCCTGAAAAATGAATACTGAACAATGGAACTCAGCTCACTGGAAACCTTCTCCAGCCTGCCCTGAGTGGGGGAGCAAAAGGACCCAGTTCACTAAGATCAATTCTTACCCAAGGACCTGTACAGCACATAATCATGACAAGGAAGGCACACACTAATCAGTCCGCATTTGGGCAACAAAAACCGTATGTCAAACTTTCAGCCAGGCCTTGAGACACATTCACAGCTCCCAATGGCAAGATTCAGCATTAGAAATAATATAGGCAAAAGACATGCCCAACAGCAAGGGAATTTTGTATGAAAGTCCAAAGGAATGAGTACTGTACTTTGGGGGACCAACAGGTGTTTTAGATGCTACATAAAGGATTTCAAAAAACTACATGGGGCAGAGAATGTAATCAAGCCATATGGTGACAACCTTGTTAACCCAAATAGAGCCTGCTTTCCAGGGTACAGAACCTAAACAGCAAAAGTTATTACAGAATTCACCTGCTTGACGTTTTGTTTTAAAGGACTTTGTTTCCCCTTTGCATCTGTGGGACCTGGCACAGTACCCAATCCAGGGAATATCAAAGTTGTTTCTCCTTTAGTTAACCAGTCTATGCCATCTAATTCTCAAGTTAAACCAAAGTAGGGAAGACAGCTTCTCAGTGTTTTCCAATGGAGCTGGCTGGGAGGAAGGATATCACCCCTACTCCTCCTGGGAACATCTTTAATTATCATAATTTGGTGAAAGGTGCTATTGGCATCTAACTGAGTAGAGGCTAGAAATACTGCTAAACATCCTACAATGCATAAGGGAGCCCACACAACAAAGAACTGTACAGCCCAAAATGTATACAGTGCCAAGAGTAACCCTGTGCCTAGCCTAACTGCAGTAGTAAGGAAATACTCAGTTCAACATGGAGCTCTGCTGTTCCTAAAACAAGATCAGCCTGGCTGGTGTTGCTCAGTGGTTGAGTGTCAACCTATGAACCAGGAGGTGAAGGCTCGATCCCTAGTCAGGGCACCTACCCAGGTTGTGGCCTCGACCTCAGTAGGGGGTGTGTAGGAGGCAGCCGACTGATGATTCTCTCATCATTGATGTTTCTCTCTCTCTCTGAAATCAATAAAAACATATTAAAAAAACATTTTAAAAAATACAATAAAACAAGATCAAAGGAGGCTAAAATTATAGGGAAAGTTTTGTTTAGACTCCTCTGGACTGAGATCCCATCAGAGGAAAATACAACTCATGCTGAAGGAACCAAGGGAAAAAGAGTGACAGGGCTCAAATAAAGGGAGAAAAAACTCTATATGGAAATCCTCAGTGTGGGAAGAAAAAAAATACACAGGGAAAAATATGGAGTGTTCCCACCAAATGTGAAATAGGCCCATCAATGCCATTTATTATACATGTTGAACAGCCTCTGAGACCCAAGGGCTCCCATATGAGGGTATTTTTCCCCCATTATCTTTTTTGCATCAAACAGGTTCTTCCAAGAGCCTGCTCACAAGGAAGACAAAAACAGAGTAATCCTCAATCAAATAAAACAAACAGGAATAGCTGAACAGTCTACATATGAAAAACAAAGGTTAAAAAACTCAGCAGACAAAAACCACACCAAGCACTCATCCCATTTAGTTTCCTGTTACATGCACTGAGGAAACCAAGAACATCAGGCCTCAAGGCGGTAATGCTCTGAGGTTTTAGTTCAGGCTCCCTCTATGTGACAGATTTCATGCACACACACCCACACATACTACTGACCCGGGCAGAAGTACACATGCATGCACAGGTGGCCAGAGGACCACAGTGGGGAATGAGGGAAGTGGGGGAGGTGGCTGGTCAAGAATATAGTATCAACTGGAAACAGGACCCAGAGAACCTTTCCGCTGCAGGCCAAGCAAGAGTCAAAATTAAAGGCAGAACACAGAATAAATGTAGGATGCTCAGAGAAGACTGGATAGATGAAGAGGGAAAGATGCAGGGAAAGTTTTGGGAAAGTAGCCTCAGAAGAGGTTTTTCTTTATTGGGAACTCAGATGGGCAGAGGTCCTGTGACTCGAGCGATATACTGAGGCTGAAGGAACATGCCACAGCATTCCCTCTGCGTCCTGTGCTCTCTCTCCAGGTAGAAGGAAATCACAAACACCAGCCCTCCCCAGCCATCCCCACTGCCACTCTGAAGAACTTTCCCAAGTACTCCCCTCAAAAAACGACACCCCCCCACTCAAAGTTAAGCCCAGCAAAGGGCCAAGCACAGAAGGCCTCAGTAACTCTTCTTGGTGGAACCAAAGCCAGAGAAGCCCATCACAGCTGCCATCTCATCATCCTCCTCAAATGTCAAGTCCTCCTCAGCCCTCCTTTTCTTCTCCTTCTGTTTCTCCTTCTTGTAGGCTTTGGCCTTTTCCTCCTGGGGGGGGAATCACTCAGAATCAGTTCAGACTCCTGAGCCAAACATTGTTGAAAGAGACAGATAAGCTTCAAGATTCCTTTCTATTTTTAGGAGAAAATAGTTAAAGACAAGTAAAATTTCAAAAGCAAAGGAAAAGTCACAGTAAGGAGTATAAAGAACAAGAAAGAGAAGTTTTAGCCCGTGGAGAGCACGTCTCAATCCTACATTCCAGTTCATTTCTAGTTCTTAACAAGGTTGTAGGAGCAAAACCAATTAATAGCAACCAACATTCTGGGGAATGTAGCACATGCCAGGAACTGGTCTAAGCGCTTTAAGTATATTATATACTAAGATCTCTAATATGAGGAAACTCAGGTACAGACAGTTTATATAAATTGCCCAAGATTCACAGCCAGTAAGTGGAGAAAACAGATTTCTGATCCAGCCAGCCTAGTCCACTAGCCTCTTGGGGACTGGGTACATTTTTAATCGCCCCTGTAGTAAAAAATTTGGCTCAGGGAATCCAGGAAAAAAAGAAAGGTTTAGAGCCATTTCCTTCAACTCAAGAGAGTCCCAAACAAGGGCAATAAATGTTTCCCCTAATATACAGAAATTCAGAAGACAGAACTGTACTCTGGGGGCAGCAGTGGAATGAGAAAGTCAGCCTCTCCCTGGCCAGGTGACTCAGATGGTTGGAGTATTGTTCCGTACACCAAAAGGTCTTGGTTTGATTCCCCGGGCAAGGCACATACTGGGTCAGGAGGCAACGGATCGATATTTCTCTCACACTGATGTTTCTCTCTCTCCCCCTCCCTTTCCCTTCCTCCTCTCTCTCTAGAATCAATTAAAAAAAGATTTGATAATAAATACCAGTTCCTGATTTTTAAAAAAGTGAAAGTTAGCCTCCCTGTGCTCCCTAACATAAAATTCCAGGCTGAGGGAAGGAAGAGGGGAGGACGGGAGAGCCTTACTTCTTCTCTGAGCTCCTTCATCCTTTCCTCAAAATCATAATCCTTCTGCTTTTCTTCCATCTTCTTCTTATTGACTTCAAAACGTTTCTTCACCTGATCCAAGGTAGAACGTTCCACACGCATAGACATGCCCAGGTTTCGCTGATCTGGGTGGGGTCAACAATGAAGTTACGGTCATCAAAATATCCTCAGCACCTTCAAAGTCTTTTCCTGACTTTTTTTTTTTTTGAGAAATTTTTAAAGAGTTTCTTTAGGCCGAACTGACAACATATGCCAGGAATCAAGATCTCAAATGATTCCTGCTGACATTTTCCTTTTAAACACCTTCTTATAAAACATATAGCAAAAATAATTATAGATTTAAAAAAATTTCCCTTGGCTTTACTTTTTCTCAGAACCAGCAGCCCCAGATTAATGGGATACAAATGGCTTTAAACTTCCCTTACTGAGGAGATGCATGTCAGTGGGGATAGCTTAGCCCAGAAGACCATGGTTTGGGCTTGTTGAGCACCTAAAACAGTGTCTCACTTCATAGCCTCTAGAAACATTAGATAATGAAGTAAAGGATGGCTTGTGCGCCCAGCCAGTGTGGCTAAGTGGTTGAGGATCAACCCATGAACCAAGAGGTGAACAGTTCGATTCCCGGCTGGGGCACATGCCTAGGTTATGGGCTTGATCCCCAGTGGAAGGCGTGCAGGAGGCAACCAATCGACGTTTCTCTCTCATCTATGTTTTTTATCTCTCTGCCTCCCCCCACCCCAAAAGGCTTGTGCTGAAACAACTGAAGAATTCCCCAGGCATTAAAGAAAGGGCCCCAAAAAAACCACCCTTACCCCCACCCCCCACTCCAAAGCCTGATCCCAGCCCCCGTCACAAACTACCTCCAAGCCTTACGTTTCTTTCCATTAATGTGATCCAGGAAGTTGATGGAGTCCTTCACAACACAGTCACAGACATTGCAATAATATCTAGCAAACAGAAAGAAATAGCACTTGAGTCAAATCTGGTTGTACAGATTGTACTGTTTTCAACCAAGAAACTCCTATTTTTAGGTAAAAAGTCTTTTTAGAAGGAGGTACTTCTCATTTCCATAAAGCCTTAACTCTTGGAAAATTGTGGCAACTAACATCCCAGATGGCCCACAATGATCCCCACCCTCTAATATTTCTACTGTGTGTAGTCCCCTCCCAATTTGTACCAGGGCTAGTCTGTGTAATCAACAATATGTCGAAAGTGATGCTGCCCTGGCTGGTGTGGCTCAGTTGGTTGAGTGTCTCCCATGCATAGAAAAGTCATCAGTTCAAAACTCAGTCATGGTATATACCCAGGTTGCGGGTTCTATCCTATCAGAGTATGGGAGGCAAATGATCCATGTTTCTCTCCAACATCGATGTTTTTCTCTCTCTTCCCCTCTCCTTTCCTCTCTCTCTAAAAAGTGATGCTATTTCACTTCCAAGATTAGGTTATAAAAAATTTTTTAAAATATGGCTTCTGTCTCAGTCTGTCCAATGTGGATCACTCACTCTGGGGAAACCATTTGCTTTGTTCTAAGGACTATGGAGAGGCCCATGGAACAGAGAACTGAGGCTGCCAAGCCATAGCCATGTGGCAGAGGCTGGAAGCAGATCCTCCAGCTCCACTTATATCTCAGATGAACACAGACCCAGCAGCCACCTTGACTGCACCTTTGCGAGAGACCCTGAGTCAGAACCACCTAGGTAAGCCTTTCTCAGATTCCTTACCCACAGAAATTATAAGCTATTTGTTGTTTTATGCTGCTAAGTTTTGGTTTAATTTGTTAATTTACATAACAATAGATTACTTCTAGAGAGGGGAATGACAACAGAACTGTCAGAGAACTGTCACTCTGCTCTCTGTGTTGCCCTCCTGCTGGAAAACCTAACTACAAAAGAACGGGCAGAACAATGAAGAGTTCTTGTGGGACTCCTCTCCCTATAGCTTATAGTCTTGGTCTAGGAAGGAAGTGCACAACTAAGCAATCCATAACTAACTGCCTTTACAGCCAGTCTGGAACCTCAACTGCCTTATTCATCATCAATAGCTCCTAGGATCCCATTCAAGCTCCACCTAATTTCTCCTCAGTAGTCCTTTCCTTCTGGCAGGAGAACAAATTAACCCTTTTAAGATATTAAGTAAAACTTACAGTGCTAATATGAAGAAGCCTACAGAGTGAACCCTCCCCTAGAAATATTATAATGTTAACCTGAGACATTGGGAGGCAAGGCAAAATAAATCTAAGGATGGAATTACAGGCAACAATGTTGTTACCTTGAAGCCAGGAACCCTCCTCAACACTTCCTAAAACCCACACAGTCTATTAGACCTACTCCTGGCTACAGTGAAAGATGAAAAGCCACTCACCCTCCCATCTCAGACTGTGGTGTGGTCTTGGTAATGACAATTGTCTTCCCAAGCTTGGATTCCAGGTCCACTTTGTAGTCCCTATGCCGGAGAAGCTCCCGCTTGACTGGCTGCACTGGTTTTCCTGAAATATAATGGGGAAGGAAGTCTCTTCAATATTGCAGTTCCTTAACCAGAAAGGAAAAGATATGAATGAAACCCCAAATCCAGAGGTTTACTCTCATTTCTTTTTTGAAACCTGAAGCAAAGGACACAACAGGTACTTCTAGCAGCAGATAATCTGAACAGGAAAAATTATAAGCAATCCTTAACTCACTAGAGCGTTTCTCCACTTTAAAGCCAACAAGTCTAAAAGCAATGTTTTCTACTCATTGATAAAGTGAATTGAAGGGAGAAGTTCTGAATTTTTACAAAAAGCAACCTTTTAAAAAAAGAGCAAGGACACTCAATAATGTTTTCAGATATTCCAAACATAACACAGAATGGAATCTTCTGAGACCTGGGGAAGTTTTTAAAAAGGGGACTAACACTTAGGAATTACCTGTTACATGCCAAACACGATTATTATATAACTTACATGAAAACCAAAAGGGCTCTTGTGTGCAAAGTGGCATGGAAGTAAAGTGAAAGAAGAATGTATAAGTTTGAAAACAAATGAGAAAAATCCAGTATTTCTTTTTGTATAGTGCAATATCTATCTTGGAGAGGTGCACCAACTCCCTGACACTGTACAAGGCACAGAAAACAGCACTACTAAACACTAGCAAGAAACAATCAAACCTTCCCTGTCCAGTATCCTTACTCATCTCAGACTACAGGAGAAGGTTGGCCCAGCAATGTTCTTCTCCCCATTAAGTAATTTCAAGACCGAGATTCTTCAATAACAGTAATGCGCAGCAGCAAAATACTCCTCTTGACTTCTCTGTCACTACTAAGGATCCCACTCTTTTCAGGAAAGTACTAAAACGAGCCAAGCAAAGGGAGGGCAAGGAAGCACAGCACAACAGAGCTGGAATACACCTCAAAATCACTTCAGTCCATCTCCTTGCTTTTATACATTAAAAAAAAAAAATCGAGGACCAGGAAGGCTGCGCTCTGCCACAGGTTACACAGCGTTTAAGAGGAAAATGCATTTCGACTCCCCACCGCCTCTCCAAGCACTGAAACGCCTCTACGATACCCTTAGCCCTTGATGGAGCAGGCACCCACCATCCTTCTTTTCTCTCTCCTCCGTGAGCCTCTTCTCAGCAAGCTTCTCATATTCATCTTTGTCCCACTTGCGGCGAAAGTCCAAGTTTTTTGTCTGTGGAGATAAGAAGCGCTCAAGAGTCGTCGCTAGTCGTGGCCAACGCCTGAAGAAACCGCATCATCCCCGGCAAGGCGGCCCCGGGACCTGTCGAGAGCGAAGCCTCCCCGGACCGCACCAGGAGAATGAAGTGGCCTCAGGACCCCCAACCCGGGAAACCTCCGCGATTCTACTGACCCTGCGCCAGAGCGTTATGGGGCCCCAGAACCGCAAGGAGGTATCGGGAAGCCAGTCCGGTGTAGGATATTCCGCGCGGAGAAACCACCCCCTACCCTCCACCCGCTTCAAGCCTCTTCCTACACACATAACACCTACCCCACTGCCCGACGCCATCTTCACCGCGAAGTGAATGGGAAGCCGGAAAATGTCGTAAAAAGCAACCTTAAGCCGTAAAGCAAGGTTATCCTCCAATAAGCTGTGAGTCTCGTGTTCTAAGCGAGCTAAAGACTGGAGGGCTACAAAAACAGACTAGTCAGACCCGCCTCTGCTCCAAGAAACTGGCGCATGCGCAGGGAGAGTATGAAGCAACACGGAAGTAAGGGCGCCTGCAAACATTTATTGCCCCAGCCTTCGGAAATAACCATGGAAGAGCTGTTAAACTCATCTATTTTACAAACGAGGAACAGTGCCCTCTAGTCTAATTAATTTTGCGTATATTGCCGAGAGTTCCTAAACCTTATTTAAGGCTGAGCGCTGTTATTAAGGCTTCAGGTGCCCCATTTACCAGAATGCAATAAAGATATGCCCCCACATTTTCAACACCGAAGTGTTTGCAAAGGCTGCAGCCTTCCCAACCCATACTGGAGACGCTTTTTGCACTTTCGTCTCTTTATCTTGAAGCAATGCTATCACTCTATGGTTAACTCACTAGGGAAGGCCAGTTATCAGCAACACTCTAGAGTGAACTCTGGCAGATGGCTCACTATATGTTGATTTAGTGACATGAGTGTATCTCCAAGTTGGGGTTAGGGTGGAGGAAACTCTGCAGGGAAAACTATGGCTGCTTCCTTCACTGAATACAGAGCATCACCCCAGGGAGGTTACTCCTCCTTGCTCAAGATTAGAATTCTCCAGTGTATACTCGAGCATTTTCTATGGCCTATGCAAAACAATCCCTTGATAACAAACTACCCAAACTACTACATTAAATATTTTATTTAATATATTATCCAACCACTTCTAGAACAGCAATCTCCATGGCAGGACATGAAATAGAGCAGAGATTCTGGCACAGAAAATGGTCTCCAAAATCTCAAAAGATCAATCTTGGTCAGGTCACCTATTAAGTTCAAAATTCAAGATTATTAAACAGCCTTACCCTGCTATTAACAGTGGGTGGGCTAGAGACATTCCACATCAATATGGGCACTGCTATGCCCTTGAGATAGCATCTCTGTCCTCAAACAAAGCAGATAGCAGCCACTGCCGCGCCTTGTTGTCTCCCCAAAACTTGGACAGGCCAACAGCAGGTTGTGGACAAATTCCCCAGAATTTGATTCAGAAGCCACAGTGGAAGGCTAAGTATCTAACTTCTGATCTCAATAGTTCAGAATCCTCTCAGCCTGAAGTGACTTTCCCAGAGCCTTGCTCATGGCAAGCATTTTAGCACCTCTTGGCAGCATTCAATGGCACCTGAAATCTGTCATCAGTCTCTGCAGTTATAGCATGTCTCTTTCACATACCAGCCATCTGCACCCATGCAGAACAGCTGCTCAGAATAGCCCAGGAGTCCTCAGGGCTTTCTACAGTTCTTTACCCAGGAAGGATGGAGGAGACAGAGGCACTTGTCACCCATCCTGGCCAGCAGTTGTGAAGCCCATCAGGAACTCAGTCCTAGATGAAACATTTTCTACAAAGAGCAGCAGATGACAATAAGAAAAGGATCAAGACTTGAACAGTCGCTTCTGAATTTCAGCCACAAGATTTTCCCGTTTAATGGACACCTGAAACATAAGAGAACCCTCATGTGACCAACTAGAAAGTGATACTAGCTACTTAGCCATTGCTTTTCCAGATTCATTTTATTCTGTATCGCTCCCACTACTTATGCAACCAGTAGGGAGTAGTGTGGGCTACAAGCTGACCTGAAGAATGTACGTCTTCAAGACTAAAGGAATTCAAAGGCCTAATCTATGTCTATTTTGTTAATTAGTCTCAAAATACCCATTGAAATTTCATGTCCTTTTTCTGCCCACCCAGCCAGTATCATTGACTACAATGGTTGCCTAGGGTGGGTCTTCATTCATCTTTATCACTATTAATTCTAGAGATATTTCCTCAGCCAGAAACATATTTCTTAAAGAATCTTAAAAAGGTAGAAACGACAGTTCAGCAATGGCTCAGTGGTTGAGTATCGACCTATGATCCAGGAGATCTCGATTAAATTCCCAGTCAGGGCACATGCCCCAGTTGCAGGCTGGAGCCCCAGTGGGGTTGTGCAGGAGGCAGCCAATAAATGACTTTCTCATCGTTGATGTTTCTCTCTCTCTCTCTCCCCCTCTCCCTTACTCTCTCTGAAATCAATAAAAACATAATTTAAATTAAAAAAAGGTAGAAACACTTGGTCCCTTCTATTTTTGCCCCACTCACCTCCTCCCTGCTGGCCACTGAACGGAGCTTGATGACACCTTCCTTCAGTTCTTGCTCACCAATAATGACTGCCAGTGGAATGCCCATGTTCTCACAGTAGTGTAGTTGCGTTAGTAATTTAGGGTTTTTCTTATATAGCAGCTCTGCCTGAAAAAGATAAAGGTAGAGTAGGGGATTTAGAAGTGACTACACCACTCCAGCCCCAGGAGTGAGCATTTCCAAAGAAACAAGTAGCTAGCCCTCCTACCCAAAGAAGGCACTCTAGTGAAGAGTTGAAAGATCTTGAGTTCCACCCTAGGCATAAAGTAGAAATGGGCCTGGTGCCTAAACTCCACATATACCTACATTGCACGAATATTAGCTCCACCATACCTTGATCCCAGCATCCCAAAGCTCTGCAATTAGCTTCATCCGTTCTTGGAGAAAATTCTTCTGTGGAGTGGCCACAAACACTTGGGTCTCTGTGGTCCGTATCTTCTCACCAAAAGTCTGATAAAAGAGAAAGAAGTAAAATAAAAACTTCCTTTGCTCCAGTTAACTCCAAAAAAACAGGACAAAAAGAATCCTAAGAAACAGTCTAGCCATGAACAGTGTGGCTCAGTGGTTAGAGTGTTAGCCCACGAACTCAAGTGTTGAGGGTTTGATTCCCAGCCAAGGGCACATATCTGCGTTGCAGATTTGATCCCTAATCCTGGTAGGGGTGCATGAGGAAGGCAACCAATTGACATGTGTCTCTCACATCAATGTTTCTCTCTTTCCTCCTTCCCCTCCCTGCCTCCCTTCCACTTTGTCTCAAAAAGCAATGGAAAAAATATCCTTGGGTGAGGATTAAAAAGAAAAAAAAAGAAAAACAGTCCAACCACACCTCCAGAAACATGAGAGTTTTTAGGCCTCCAGTCCCACTCCATCCCTACCTAGGACCTACCTTCATCCTCTGCTCCATGATGGAGAAGATTCGCTCTACTCCAATGCTTAGCCCCACACACGGCACCTTATGGCCCTTGGCGTTAAACATGCCCACTAGCCCATCGTAGCGCCCACCAGCAGCCACACTGCCCACATTCAGAGGCTCTTCCTTAGCCTGAGTTGGGGTCTGTAGCAGCACTGCCTCATAGATCACTCCTGTATAGTAGTCCAGACCCCGAGCCAGGCTTAAATCAAAGGAGATCTGTGTGAACAAGGCTACAGTCAGTCCCAGACAAGACTCAAGACCCTGAGAAGCCCAGAGCTCAGCAGGAGGTCCATATTCAACTCAGCTTACCTTCTCTGCAATTCCAAATACAGTCAGATATTCAAAGAGCAGCTTCAGGTCCCTCAGGCCCTCTAGGGCCTGCTTGCTCTGAGACAGTCTGGGATCCTGGAACATTTGCTCTACCAAGGACAGCCCACCTGGGAGACATGTGGGGAGAAATAAAGCCTGTGCTATTCACCCAGATGTGTTTCATCCAAATTTAACTTTAGTGTGTTCCAGGTAGTCCTCATTTTCTTAAAAGAAAGAAAAGAAAAAAAGCCCAGCTGGTGTTGCTCAGTGGTCGAGCTTTACCCCATGAACCAAGAAGTCACAGGTTCAATTTCTGGTAAGGGCACATGCCTGGGTTGCAGGTTCAGTCCCTAGTAGGAGGGGTGCAGGAGGCAGCTGATGGATGTTTCTCTCTTTTTGCACAGCTACAGAAAGGAACAGCTTCAGAGGTAGAAGTTGTACACATATTACCCTTATTCTGGTTCTGTCATATAGCTTTAAAACTCTGGTTCTTACCATGACATTGGACATAGTCCCCAATTCGGTCAGCCACTTCAGGAGCCAGGCCTTTCTTTGCCACCATCTCATGTCTCACATCTTTCCAAGATATCTGCACAATTATTCAAACATTAGCCCTACCCTACAATCCTTCTTTCTCTATTCAGAAAAAGATATCTTACTTTCATTCAGTATGTATGTCATGAGTAGCTAAAACTAAACTCAGTAAAGGCACCAAAGTCATAGGCAGCTTAGGAAATCCAGCCACAATCCCCACTGCATAGCAAATCTCAGATCTTGCTTCAGAATATCTCCCTACCTCCCTCACTTCCAGCCACCATCTCCTTATTTTTCCTCTAAGGGTATAGATTTGAAGGCAGGGCAGGGCAGAAACTCTGATGGAGTCTACTGAAGCATGTCTTCTTTCTTACCTTGTCGAGTTTGTCGATGGAGGAGCAGACGGCACGGAACTTGCTTTCAGGAACACCACAGACGGCAAACATCCCATCCAAAATCCGTCGGTCATTGACCTGTGAACTCAATGGAAGTAACCCAGTGCCTTGTCAATGCTCTTTCTCTCAAAACAATGACAGTCCTTACTCTCCTGAGTCATAAAAGAGATAGAAAGGAAATTCTACAGGATGACTGTTTATATATATATAAAATGCAACACGTGTACTAAGAAAGTCCTAGAGCTGCAGGCTTAAAGGCTGAGTCATCTGTTTAAGGACAGCATCAGGCCAAACCCACTCTTCTCCCCTAAGACCTCAGCCCTGACCTCACCTTAATAAGAAAGTCCCCAAGCTCCAATCCATTTAGGATTTCACAGATGATCTTCAAACACTCTGCATCAGGAATCATAGGGTCAAAATCACCAGCAATGTCAAAATCCTACAGCAAAGAAAAAGACAGGAAAAAAAAGTCTCCACTGAGCAGCCAGTTCTCAGGTTGTGGCCCTCAGAACTGTCAAACCATGCTGCCTCCTTCAGGTCACTTACACACTGGCAGAACTCCCTGTAACGGCCTTGGACTATGGTTGGGCTCTCCCGTCGCCACACCTTTCCAACATGGTAGCGTTTCATCTTCTTCAGTTTATTCATGGCCATATAACGTGCAAAAGGGACCTCACATAAATAGGTTAAGGAGGAAGGACACTGCACCCAAAGCTTAGGCCCAGCATAAAGACATTAGGGAAGACTGGGCCCTTATCAACTGGATCCTGTTGACTAGGCTGAGAACAAGCACCCTGTCTTATTTCCCACTGTCCCCAAGGCTTAGCAGTACTTGGCAGTCAATATATGGGGAGGGCAAAAATAGGTTTACAGTTGTGAGTATGCAAAACAGTTTATTCTTGTATTATTACTTATTAACTATTATATTATTTATTTGTACTATAACTGTAAAACCACTTTTGCCCACCCTTGTATACTGAATAGCGTCAAATGAAGGAATCCCACCTGACAAAACTACAAGTTCAGTAGAAGGTAGGGGAAGCAAGAGATAGAA